CAAACCATCCCTCCCACAGTCCTGAGTGATCCCAAACCATCCCTCCCACAGTCCTGAGTGATCCCAAACCATCCCTCCCACAGTCCTGAGTGATCTCAAACCATCCTTCCCACAGTTCTCAGTGATTCCAAAGTGTCCCAAAGCATCCCAGACCATCCCAAACCATTCCCTCCCACAGTCCTGAGTGATCCCAAAGCACCCCAAAGCGTCCCAGACCATCCCAAACTGTCCCAAACCATCCCAAATCATTCTTCCCTCAGTCCTGAGTGATCCCCCATGATCCCAAACCATCCCTCCCACTCCGATCCCCAATGATCCCAACTGATCCCTCTTACCCCATCCCAAATGATCCCACTCAATCCCTCCCAGATCCCAAATGATCCTTCCCAACCACGCTTTTCCCTCAGGAATGGAACCCCCCCCCAGATCCCAATGCCTTTCCCTCCCCTCAGGGTTTTTCCAGGCCATGGACGTGGACAAGGACGGCGTCGTCACCTTCGACCTGCTGCAGGTACCGGGGGCAGCTCGAGGCCTTCCTCCTGCCCTTCCTCACCCTCCTCCTCTCCCTCCTTCTCCTGCTTTTCCCACGCTTCCTTCCCCCTCTCCTGCTCCCCTTCCTCCCTCACCCTCCTCCTCCTCCTCCCCAGTGGCTCCAGCTCACCATGTTCGCCTGACCAGACTCTCCAAGTGCCTTCCACCACCCCGCGCCGGTTTTTTCCCTTTTTTTGGCTTTTTTCAGCAGAAAAGGCTGGATGAGGGGGTGGGGTGGGGGTCACACAGGACCCCCACCGAGCTTTGCCGAAGCCCCCCATCCGTCCCTCACCTCACGCTTGCCCTTTTGGGGCAAATCCTCCGGATTTTGGTGCCTCTTTGCTGACGGAGTCCCGGCCGTCGCCATTCGCTTCAGGGATCTGCTGCCCCTGGGTGCCATAAAGTGATTTTTTTATTGTATAAATTAAAAATGAGGTAAAAACCAAAGAAAAAAAATGTTATTTAAGTCAAAACTCCTTTTTCTGGCAGTTCTTTTTTCCTCTCAAGGTGGGGGATGAGGGCATTTCAAAGTGCTGCAAAATAACAGGTTTAGGGGTTGCCTTGGGGTTACAGATCATATATTTGGGGTTATATTCATGTGGTTTTGAGATGTTTTGGTGCTTGTGACTTAAAATCTGCTCGTGACTCCTGGGACGAGGCTCGGAGGGGATGAGGGGACCCCGGACCCGGGGCAGAATTCCTGGGGCAGGTGTGACCCTGAGCAGGACCCCCAGACCCGGTACCACCCATGGCCATGTTAGAAATTAAAATTTATTCAGCCAAATTAAAAATAAAAATAGTTTTATTAGCGGTCAAATTCTGTCTAGCCAGCCACGGAAAAAAACCCAGAGCCGAGCCCGGGAATCGACCCTGGGTGTGCAACAAGGAGTCAGCCTCAGCAGAGGTTTTCTCTATGCCCACACCTCCAGCCTGGCACGAGCGGTTTTTATAGGGAAAATTCCACCTGAGGCCAGGATTTCAGCAATCGGTCTTTTCTTCCATTCAGAGTCCATAGGTTAATAAGATTTTCTGTTTTGGTGATGAGGAGGAACAATTCAGTGTCCGGAGTTGGTGAATCCCTTGATGAAATTTATGGGAACGCTGCATTCACATGGATCTGCCCGAGGATTTCCATCTCTGGTAGTTTATGTGATGATCATGCAGACATGTCCCATCTCCTGGCCGAGCCACATCCTTTTGCTTGTAAATTGTGTTTCAACACACACCAGGTTTTGCCTGGAAGGGTGTGGGGGACTCCTAATACAAACGTGTATACTCCAACAAATGTTCAATATCACATATATCATACTAAAAATGACGCAAATTGTATCTACCGCACATAACACGTGTATACTCCAACAAATATTGAATATCACACTAGAAATAGCGTGAATTATATCCACCACTCATCAGGCCCGGTCGCGCCCCGGGTTCCCTCAGAGCCGCCTCAGCCCCGCCCCCTCGGCGCTCTGAGGGCGCGAACTTTCCCGCCCTTTTTCCCTCCCGCCCTTTTCCCCTCCCACCCCAATGGGCAGCACCTGGCCACGCCCCTTTCCCGCCCATCGCGCTCCTATTGGTCCGTTCCGTCTAATTATGAATGGGCACGCCCCTTTCCTCGCCGTGGCCACGCCCTTTTCTCCTTATTTGGTGTGGCCGCGCCCTCCCCTCACGGAGCGGCGCCCGCGCGGTTCGAGCGCGGCCATGGCGGAGCCGGAGCGGGGCCCGGAGCCGGTGACGGCCGAGGCGGTGCTGAGGGAGCTGCGGCTCTTCGAGCTGCGCTGCGACGGCGAGGAAGTGCCCGACAAGCGTGAGGGCTACGGGAGGGGCGCGGCCTGGGGGGAGGAGGAGATGGGGGGACTTGGGAAGGAGGAAGGGGGTGTTGGGGGCCTGTCAGAGGAGATTGGGGGTGTAAGAGGGGCTGTGAGGGGAGTGGGGGTCTGTCAGAGGAGGTTTGGGGGTGTGGGGGGAGCTGTGAGGGGTGTTGGGGGCTGTCAGGAGGTCTGGGGGTGTCAGAGGGGAGTGGGGGGCTGTCAGAGGAGGTTTGGGGGTGTCAGAGGGGAGTGGGGGGCTGTCAGAGGAGGTTTGGGGGTGTCAGAGGGGCTGTGAGGGGAGTGGGGGTCTGTCTGGAGGTTTGGGGGTGTCAGAAGGGCTGTGAGGGATGTTGGGGTCTGTCTGGAGGTTTGGGGGTGTCAGAGGGGCTGTGAGGGGTGTTGGGGTCTGTCAGGAGGTTTGGGGGTGTCAGAGGGGAGTTGGGGTCTGTCTGGAGGTTTGGGGGTTTGGGGGGAGCTGTGAGGGCAGTGGGGGTCTGTCTGGAGGTTTGGGGGTGTGTCAGAGGGGCTGTGAGGGGTGTTGGGGTCTGTCAGGAGGTTTGGGGGTGTCAGAGGGGCTGTGAGGGGTGTTGGGGTCTGTCTGGAGGTTTGGGGGTGTCAGAGGGGCTGTGAGGGGAGTTGGGGTCTGTCAGGAGGTTTGGGGGTGCGCTGAGGGGGAGTTTGGGGGTCTGGGGGTGTGGGGGGAGCTGTGAGGGATTATTTGGTTTATGTGGGTCACCGAGGGCTGTTGTGGGGGGTTTTGGGGGGCACAAAGGCTTGAGGGGGTGATTCGGAGGTACCCAAACGTTTTCTGGGGGGGTCTGGCTGGGATTTGGGACCCCTCTGTCCCCGCAGTGGTGGAGCTGTGCCTGAGCCACAGGCTGGACCCGGTGGCCTTGGCCAACGAGCTGCTGGCCTTCGTCACCAGCAAAGACCTGGACCTGCAGCTCACCCCCGAGGGCCTGGACGCCTTCGAGCACGAGGTGGGGGTCCCCAGTTCCCAGCTCCTGGTTTCCCCAGAGCCCCCGGGATGGCGGGGAGCACTCGCCATCCCCCCAACCCTGTCCTGCCGCCCCAGGTGCTGGCCAAGCGCGGCAGCCGCGGCCGGCGCGGGCGGGACGAGCGCCGCGGGCTCCTCCACGACATCCACTCGCTCCAGGAGCTGTATCCCTCATCCCGAGGTGATCCCGAGGACATCCCGACATTCCCCGGAGATCCCGAGCCCTTTGGGGGGGGTCTGGCAGAAAGTGGGGTGCCGTGAGCTGTCACAGATCCCCCGCAGGGGGCTGGGAATGGGAGGAATTCTTGGATTTGGGGCTCCTGGGGGGGGTTTCACCCCAAACCTGCAGCGTTGGTGCCCCTTAACGCGCACCAGCCTCGACGAGGAGCAGGAGGACGAGCTGCTGGACGCCTACACCACCCCGTCCAAGGTGGGCACCGCCCCAAAGCCGCGGGGCTTGCCTCCAGAGCAGCCTGGGAATGTCCTTTTGCTGCGCCTGTTCCCTGCAGGGCTCCCAGAAACGCAGCAACTCCACCCCGGAGACGCCGCGGCCCAAGCGAGCGGCGCCGTCCCGCAGCCCCTACGGGCTCTTCTCCCCCAGCAGCTTCTCCCCGAGGTGGGTGAGGGGCCTGGGGGGCTTCCCTGAATCCCTTTTCCCTCTTTTCTTCCTTCCTTCCCCTTAAAATCACACCATTATGGAAGATGGAGCCTTTTGAAGCTCTGTAAATTTAGGGGGGGGCATGGTTAAATTCCCACTGACCTCCTTGCAATCACAAAGTCTTTAAAGTTACAAACACTTGTGTTTAAACCTCGTTAACCTGTTAAAACGCCCTGCTCACAGATCAGGGAATTCATCCCTCTAAGCTCCAATTTATCATTTCGTGCTCAGAACAGGAGATTAACCCAAAACCTCACCGAGTTTCAGGGTGGGACAAGCGCAGGCCTGAACCAGCCCTGTTTTTCGTGTCCCCACAGTGTCACCCCCTCCCAGAAATACTCGTCCCGTGGGGGCCGGGGCGAGGTCGTGGCCTCGCTCGGCTCCGGCCAGGGCCTGGCCTGGCGCGGCCGCGGCGGCTGCGGCGTCACCATCTTCGGCCACCCCGAGCAGAGCCTCAGCAAACCCTACAAGAGCATGTTCCAGAAGGCGCTGGACGTGCGGGAAGGTGGCACCGGCACCCCGGGGTGGGGTCGGGGGGTGTTGGCGACATCGGGGTCACCTTGGTGGGGTCAGGGTCAGGGGTCAGGGGGTGTTGGTGACACCAGGGTCACCCTGTTGGGGTCAGGGGGTGTTGGTGACATCGGGGTCACCTTGGTGGGGTCAGGGGGTGTTTGTGACACCGGGGTCACCCTGGTGGGGTCAGGGGGTGTTTGTGACACCAGGGTCACCTTGGTGGGGTCAGGGGGTGTTGGTGATATCGGGGTCACCCTGTTGGGGTCAGGGGGTGTTGGTGACATCGTGGTCACCCTGTTGGGGTCAGGGGGTGTTTGTGACACCGGGGTCCCCTCCCAGCGCTGGCCGGGCGGGTGGAGGAGCTCGGGGAGGTCCTGCAGAGGCACCACGGCCTGGACAGCTTCAGCTCCGCTGTGCTCCCGGCTCAGGTGAGACCCCAGCCCCTGTTATGGGGTGAAACCCCCTCATTTTGGGGTGAAACCCCCCCATTTTGGGGTGAAACCCCCCCGTTTTGGGTTAATCCCCCCGTTTGGGGTTAACCCCCCGTTCGGGTCCCTAGGAGCCGGTGACGGTGCTGGGGCAGATCGGCTGTGACGGGAACGGGAAGCTCAACACCAAATCCGTGCTGCTGGTGGGGGACCGGGAGCACTCGGGGGGAGCCGAGGTCCCTCTGGACCTCTCGGAGCTTCTGGAATATTCCCTGTTCCCGGGACAGGTGCGGCTTTGGGGATCCCCCTTCCCTCCCTGCCCTCCCCAATTCCTGCTCCTTTTCCTTCATTCTTGCTTCTTTCCCCCTTTCCTGTCTTTTTTTCCCCAATCCCTGCCCTTTTTCCCAGTTCCTGCCCTTTTCCCCAATTCCTGCCCCTTTTTTCCTCAATTCCTGCCCTTTTCCCCAATCCCTGCCCCTTTTCCCCAATCCCTGCCACATTTTCCCCCAGTTCCCATCCTTTTCCTTGGTTCCCACGCTTTTTCCCGATTTCCCGCGGTTTTCCCCCAATCCCGGTGTCCCACAGGTGGTGGCCCTGGAAGGCACCAACAGCACGGGCAGGAGGATGGTGGTGACCAAGCTCTACGAGGTGACCCCACTCCCGGGGGGATTTGGGGTGGGATTGGGACATTTGGGGTGGGATTGGGGCATTTCTGGACCCTCCTGGTTTCCCACAGGGGGTCCCTCTGCCCTTCCACACCCCCACGGAGCCGATGGCAGGTGAGCCCTGGGGCCTTCACTTTTTGTCCCCAAATCCTCATTTTTTGTCCCCAAATCCCCTTTTTTTTCCCCCAAAGTGCCCTTTGGATTCTCCATCTCCCCCTTTTCCTTCCCCAGTCTCCCTTTCTGTCCCCAAAACTCCCTTTATTACCCCCAAATCCCTCTTTTTTCCCCTCTCAAACTCATTTTTCATCCCCAAACCCCCATTTTGGGATCCCAAATCTCCTTTTTTGTCCCTAAATCCCCCTTTTTTATTCTCCCCAAGCCACTTTTTCTCCTCATCCCTCCTTTTTTCCTCCCCACATTCCCATTTCCATCTCCCAAACCCTCCTTTTTGTCTCCAAACCGCCCCATTTTCCATCCCTGTTCATTCCTAAACGTCCCCCTTTTCTCCTAAACCCCCTTTTCTCCCCAAAAAAACCCTTTCTCCTAAAAAACTCCTTTTTTCTCCCTAAAACCCCCTTTTTTCTCCCCAAAAAACCCATTTTTTCTCCCCAAAAACCCCTTTTTTCTCAAAAATAATCCCATTTTTTCTCCCAAAAACTCCGTTTTTTTCCCCAAAACCCTCTTTTTTCCCCAGAGCAGAGGATGGTGCTGGTGGCCTGTGGCCCCTTCACGCCCTCGGACAGCATCACCTTCGAGCCCCTCAGTGACCTCCTGGAGGTTGTGGCCCGTGACCGCCCCGACGTTTGTATCCTGGTGAGGACAATTAACCTCATTAACCATGAATATTTAATTACCTCCATCGTTATTAACCCAATCCTGCACCCCTCACCCCAACCCCGCAGCCTCGAGACGCTTGGGAGGCTCCAAACCCTGGAAAATTCACAATAAAATCCCATCTCTGAGCCCCAAAACACCCATTTTTCACCCTGGGAGTGCCCAAAACCCCTCACTTTTCACCCAGCAATCCCCAAAATCCCCATTTTTCACCCCAAAGTGACAGAAAAGCTCAATTTTAAGAGCAAATGCTGCCCTCGGAGTCAAATCCTGATTCCCTGCCTGGGCACAATGCATCCGTTTCAGCAATTTCCACTTTTTGGTCTCATTTTGTCCTAAAATTTTAGGGGTGTGGGCTAAAATTGGGGTTCATCGATGAGAATTATTAAAAATTATCCTTTCTGGGCGGTGATTTGAAGTGACTCTTTGCTGCTTTTCCCCATTTCTCCGCAGTTTGGGCCGTTCCTGGACGCCAAGCACGAGCAGGTGGAGGTGAGGAGGGGTCCCCCCAAAACCCCCTCAATCCCTGCGGATCTGGGGCAGCAGCAGATCCCCAAAATCAGGGGAATTGTGCCAATCCCGCTGTTTTCCCCCAATTCAGAGCTGCCAGCTCCTGAGCCCCTTCTCCGACGTGTTCCGCCTCTGCCTCGGGACCATCATCGAGGGCACCAGGAGGTGGCCACGGAAACAGCCCCAAATTCCCCATCCCCACGGGGCTCTTTTTCCCCAAAAGTGCTGCTTTTCACCCCAAAATTCTCTCCTTTTTCCCTCCCGCAGTGCTGGCTCCCAGCTGGTGCTGGTGCCCTCGCTCCGGGACGTGTCCCACGACTTCGTGTATCCGCAGCCGCCCTTCTCCTTCCCCAACCTGCCCAAGGAGGACAAAGCGGTACCTGCCCCAAAATTCCGCTTTTCCCCCCCAAAAAATCCATTCCCAGCAGCTCCCCACCCCTCCTGGCAAACCCCAGCTGGGATTTGGGCTGAAATTCCCCTTTTTCTGCTGCTGCTGCTGCAGCTTCCAGGGGGACAAAGGATTTGGGATTGGAATTCCAGAGCTCCCAACGCCCCTCCCAGCCCTTTTTGGGTTCAAATTACTTCATTTAATGATTCTTTGTCCCTCAGGAGCAGATCTGACGTTCCTGCAGAAAATCTAGCTCGGCCCTGGGGATTTTGGGGAACATTTTGGGGGTTTAAGGGAAACTTGGTGGGATTGGGGCAGTTTTGAGGTGATTTAGGGCCAATTTGGGGCATTCCAGGGCAGATTTGGGGCATTCCAGGGTGGGGTTTGAGCATTTTAGGAGGTTTGGGGCATTCTGGGCTGGGTTTGGGGTGTCCTGGCTGGGTTTGGGGTGTCC